TGTATTTCTTCTCAGCAAGGAAGTGAAAAGATTCCTGTAAGATTAGTTGTGCTAGGTACAAAAATAAATCCCCTTATCCCTTAGATACCAAGGTGGTATGGCAGATATTATCATGACATAGGACATAAAGGTAATATAGGTAGATAGAGAAGTATGTGTTAGAGAGAGAGAGAAAGAGAAGGAGGCAGGGAGAAGGAGAGATTTTCCCTCACCCAAACAGTGAAGGACAAATATTTCATTTGACAATGTCATACCAGGGTATTCTGATTTAAATCAAACAAAGAAAGCTCAGGGATTATAATAAGTTTATTTCAGGACACAAAAAGCCACTGTGAAAAAGACAGACACTAAAGTCACTGTCTCATTATGGCAATACAAAATGAATAATACAGTATGCAAATTGAATCTAAAACTTTTCCTAAATTGTCCTAATTTATCTTGGCAAACAAAAATTACTGAAAGTTTAGGTAACTGGATGAACACTACCAGCAAGCATGTTTTGCAAACATGCCACATGAACAGAGGGCAGGAAAAAGAAAGCTCTGTGGCATAAATTGATAGATCAAAATCAGCCTTGACATATTAGGATCCCATTTTATATATCCCAAATATACAAACACATTTTCCAATTTGTTGTGTACGCTGCTGGGAAAGAATGGCAAAAGTGTGTAAGCCATTTGGGAGGGGGAGCATCTCTGTGATTAAATAACTGAGAAATAAGGAGTCTTCTCAATTGGGGAAAAGACATAGCTTTGTGGAAAAGCACATGCTTGGCACCCAGAAGGTCCCAGGTTCAGCTCCTGGTATCTCCAGGTACAGCTGGGAAAGACCCCTGCCTGATATCCTGAAGAAATCTGCAATACTGAAGACTCACTAGTCTTCACTAGCCAATTAGAGTAGAATCTATGCTGCAGGGCCAATACCACCTTCTTATGTAGGAATGCCTGATGCATCCATTTGATGAACCACAGCTCTGCCCCAAAGTAATGCCTATTTTACCTCTGCCTTTTTCAAAGGGATACATAGTTGGAGCCAGAATTGACATTCAATGAACAGAAGGGACTGAAAATTAGAAAAAGACTCTCACTGAGGGAAGGGGATATGTTTTGTACACTCCTCCAATCCACTACATTGAACAATATTTTGAAAGATCCTTGACCCTCAAAAGCAGATTGTCAATGGCTCACAGGACGTTTCTACTTACAAGCACTCTGGGTCCAAGCTATAAAATGAACAGTGAGGGACTTGCCTTATTATGCAGACTCTCTTTCATGATTTTCTGTCTTGCCATGTGTAACATTGCCTCCCCCCTTCCCATACAGACATCCATGTGAAACAGCCTTGGTTTCCCATGATGCCCCTCCTTTACCATCTGTGAATTACAGAAGTGGATAAATATAGCAGATATTCCCAGACATATGTTACATGGATCACTTTTTTCAAAGGTGATACCACCTGTCAGTAATCTTTTCTTAACCTAAGGAGTTTATCACATTGACTTTGCTCCCGCAATAGATGCAGGATGTAACTTTAAGAAGGTGGATCTTATCACATTTCCTTGTCTCCTGGGAGTACGCAGCCTGTTTGCAACCCAGGCTTCTGCCGCATCTTTTCAAGAACAGGAAAATCTCATTCTTGAAAAGATGTGAGAGGAGTCCAGAGAAGCCCAAGTTGCAAATGGGCTGCATACTCCCCAGCGATGGGGAAATGCAATAAAATCCACTTCCTTAAAGATACATCCCACATCTATCGTGGGAGCAAAGCCAATGCGATAAACTGCTTTACTGCATCAGCTGACTTTTGCTCAACTTTCAGATCACATCACATATTAATTTCCTATTTCTGGACAATTTTTTTAGGTATGAAAGCTATGGTGACCCCATGAATTCCAAAGGATTTCCTTAGGCAAATAATCCTCAGAGTTGGTTTGCCATTCCTTCCTCTGAAATACAGTCTACAGCACCAAGCATTCCATTGCAGCTCCCCATCTATGAACCAGGCCTGATCCTACTTAACTTCCCAGCTCAGCCAGAATCTGGTACCTTCAGAGTATTTAACCATAACCTTTATACCAACTTATGATGATGTTCCTAAACACCCTTCCAGTCCAATCTTTTAAAGATTGTCTCAGATCTAATCAATGTATTGTCACTCCAGAGCTAAAGCCACCAGCCATTCCACACCTTTTTGTCAGTCCCCTGGGAAAGCCACCAAGAACTTTGTTATACTGAATAACACACACACACCCTCAAAGCATAACTACCCCCCAGCCCTAGCCATGTTGTTCACAGACCAGGAACCTCCTTGTTTAACCCTCAGACACGGTCTAAGCTGTTCTGTGTTTTCCATGGACCTCTCTTCAGGATTGGTAATTATCACCTTCTTTAACCTCTGGGCTCTCTCTATCCAACCTTCTACACCTTTCTTTCCAACAGCCTTGTATGATTCTTAAGATTGCTTTGGTTTTTGTATGTCTGCATGCACCCTTGCACATTTCTAAATAAAACACTTTTACTGAAACTGGAGCACTCTCTTCAGTTATTACTGGTATACATAGATGAAATGTTCCCTGCAGATACACTCCTCTCACAGGCCTCCTCTGAGCTATAACTTCCCCAAATTTCAAAGGGACACTGGCATTGCGGGTGCAGACTCCCAATGTCCCCCATCATTTAGGGTAACATGTGAGGATAAAGAAGAACCATGAAAGCTATCCCCAATTCACTGGAGGAAAGGTGAGGTATAAATGTAACTAATAGATAATTGGAAGTTCTCCAAAAAAGTTATTATCACTGCAAAACAATATTAGTAGTTTGTTTCATCACTCATTACTTTTGCTCTTTTTAAAAAAAAAGAAAAGTCCAAACCCTCAACTAAAAGTAATAAGAAAATTGCCAAATATTTTTTTAAATCCTTAGGGGAACGAATAAGAAAAATTAATGAATACATATTGCTCATTGCATGAGGGAGAGAAATTGAATCTCCAGCCATTACATTGTTTGACAAAAGGACACCGCTAGGGTTCAATGCCCTGAAAAGTAATGTTACAAGTAACACTCTTGGTAACATTTTACTTACACATACTCTCAAGCAGACTGACTTCTCACTAAAAACAAGGTGTGCCAAACACTGTAAATTTGGGGGGGTTATTTGTTTGTTAACTTATTTAGCTATTTAATATCCCAACTTTCTTCAAATATGGAACCTATGGTAGTTTTCAGTGCCTGAACTAAACTCTTCTAGTTTTAAGCCTTAAGCTTTCTTCATTTCAGCAGTCTAGTTTGAAATTGTGGGAGTTTAGAAAAAGAAAAATCCTTTATGATCTACTGCAGATTAGCCAGGGATCTGCCAGTATATCCTATATCTAACTTCTGCCCACCTCTGCTGTACAACATGCCCCGAATCCTACATAATATGCAGATTCCAAGACAGACACATAAAGACTTCTTGGCAGATGACATCATGGGAAATATAAGGAGACACAATGTTTGAAAACTACTGATGTGACGGCACATTTTAAATGCTTGCAAGATATTCCCATCCCATGTCCACATCCCAACATGAGAAGAAGCATTTCTTTTCATAAAACAGCCACAGATACATAGAGAACCCTAGATCAAGATGGACAACCCTGTTTGAGGTCTTCTGTGATCTGGAAAGATGTGAACATCAATCCAAGTAGGTGTTGTCTGAAAAGAACAGGATAGCACTAATTGTTTCCACAGTCCAGATTCAAAGACTCTTTTGATACCACATTTTGCAGCTTCCATGACATAAGTGAGATTCCCCCCACCACCACCACTTCCCTTTCCAAGCTAAGAGGTAAGGCCATTGTAGGAATATGTACAGTATCCTAATTTCACCACAAAATAAGCATGAGATATTCTCCACATACCTAGGTTTTTCACTACCGACATCACCATTTGTTGTTGTTATTGTTATGTGCCTTTCAACTGACTTCCAATTGTTTGTCCCTATGCTGTGGTTTTCTTGACAAGATCTATTCAGAGTAAGTTTGCCATTGCCTTCTTCCAAGGCTGAGAGAGTGTGTTTTGTGTGGAATCACCTAGTGGGTTTCCATGACTGAAAAGGGATCCAAACATTGATCTCCCAGAGTCCTAGTCCAACATCATCATCATCATCATCCTGTTTGTTTATATCCCACTTTCCTCCCAGTATAGGGACTAAAGGCAGCTAACAAATTAAAATAGTCTAAGTTAAAACAGTGTAAAACATTAAAAATACAAAGTTTAAAAAACAATTAAAACAATTAAAAACATGACATTATTAAAATGTAAACATTTAACATTCAAACCACTGAACTATACTGACTCTCTAACAGCACCCTAAACAACTATATTTTGTTCTCCTGTCCCATGGCCACCTGACAATTTAAACTGCAGACCCTACTTGAGCATCTATCAAATCAAAAATATTCCTTTGTCTTTGCTCTACATCTCTGCCTGCTCATTTTTCTCCCCTTTTTGTACTGTGACTTCCTCACAGTAAAGCTTTCTTTACTACTGTTCCCTTGCATCATAACTGATCCAAAACAATCTGAGGCTATTTCATTGTCATGCATACACCCACACACTGTGGGTCGGATCCAAAGCTTTATTCCAGCTGTAAGCATAAATTTGTTCCAAACATTTCTATCAGCAGGAAAAGGGTTGGATTTTTTTTACATCAATTTCCTATCCCCCTACAGCCTCCAATGCCACCTCCCCACCCACTGGTTTGAAGGGTCCCCCAAACTTCCAGATCAGATTTTCAGAAGATAAAAGGAACTACAGAAACAGTAAAGACTATCTCCTTCTCTCTTTAGCCAGCAGAAAAACTGGTAGATCAATAGCCTTCCATTCTGTCCCCAGGAGGTTTTTGCTGGATCCAACCTTTTATTCTTAATTTGCAGGTCAGAAGAATATTTTCATTGGTTATGAGCTCTGTTCTTCCAAGATACAGGATAATGTTCTTCCAAGATACAGGATAATGTTTGTGAGAGTGTACAAAGGAACAAGGTGGTGTAATGGTTTGAGCATTGCACTAGGACTTTGGAGACCAGGGTTTGAATACACACACGGTCATGAAAACCCATTGGGAGACCTTTGGCAAGTCACACTCTCTCGGTCTCAGAGGAAGCAATAGCAATAGCATTTACATTTCTATACCGTTTATCAATAAACTCAGCACTCTATAAGCAGTTTTCTATCTGTAAGCCTATTGTCCTCAACTAGCTGCGTAGTCATTTTACCAATCTGCAAAAGGATGGAAGGCTGAGTCAACCTTGGAGCCCTGGAATTGAACTCACAACCTTGGCTGAAGTACTGGCATTTAACCACTGTGCCACTAGGGCTCACTGGAAGGAAAATGCAAACCCCTTCTGAATAAATCTTGCCAAGAAAACCCTGTGATAGCATCACCATAACTCAGATTTGACTTGAAGGCAAACAACAACAACAGCAGAGGAACCAGGCTGACTTTTACAAGAAGCTGGATGGTGTGGGGAGGTTTCTCCTTCCCATTTGTAGCTCACACTAGCAGACCAGTTGCATCATTGTGACATTCAAGTAGCAAGTGACAGGATCCCCCTACCACAGCCAAGTGAAGCTGGCAACATTAGATTGAAGGCAGGGGCTTAAATCCACATGTTAGTCCCAGTTAGAGGACATCCACTGAATCAATGGGACCTTCGCAAGTCAAAACATATGCAAATCCAGTTGACTCAATGGTCTATTCTAGTTGAGACTAACAATGGATTTAGGCCAGCACTGATGTATGTTTCATGCTGGGGCATCTTCAACTTGTTTATGTT